AATTCCACTAACAGTTGACTGTGGAATATTTAGTAGCAAGGAAATTTCACAAATAGACTTATTGCACAGGTGGCAGCCTATCACGGTACGACACTTGAGTTCACTGAGCTCCTGAGAGAGACCCATTCTTTTACAAATGTTTGTAGAATCAGTCTGCATGCCTAGGTGCTTGATTTCATATACCTGTGTCCATGGAGGTGATTATCCAATGATTTGGAGGGTTGTCCGAATACCTTTGGCAACATAGTGTATAATATATATATATTTATTTATTAATTTAAAGTGGAGTTAAAACAAAAAATAAAAATGTATTGTATTGCAGTTTACCAATCTTCAGATGTGGTGGCTGCATTTGTTTTTTTTTTTTGGGGGGGGTGGCTTTTTTCCATTATTTTCACCTGGTGATTGAGCCAGTAAGTCTGTAATTTCTCATCTTTCTCTCATCTTTCTTTAAGGCCTCTTTCACACCATACACACATAAAAACTGACAAAAAAAAAACACACAGATTTTACTTGCAGGGACACAAGTTTATATCAGTTTTCATGCGCATTTCAGTGAGTTTTATGCACATTGACAGTTTTCATGCACTTTATTTTTATGCACAGATAAACATCACACCCTGTGTCATCAGTTTCTATTCTGCCATATTCACACCACATTGTTGATGTCAGGTCACTTTTTTTTCAGTACAGAAAACTGCATACATGTTCCAGATTCCTTCACAGAAAAAAATCTGTACGTGATACAATTGTTTCTTTGTGCGCTTGTAAAACACGTGCAAAAAAAACTGACATCTCTGCACCATGGTTTGAATGAGGTGTAACAGACCAAACTGTTCAGACAAAGTAGCACTTAGAGGATTGAGACAAACCATTTAACACTGATAATGGTCAACTTTTAGATGGTGCTTACAATGGTCAACTTTTATTCATTTATGTAAAACCTTTATCCCAAAGGTAACTGCTTAGAAAGTTAGCTGGAGTTCAACTTCAATTTTTTTAGTCAAGTCCATCTAAATCTGCTGGTTCATCCAATACTATCCTCTCCACAGACTGACAATACTGCTGTCCAAAGTTATCTGTTAATACACCCTAATACAGAAGGTGTGTTAATAGCTGGATCACAAGGTAAAACAAAAAAAAAAAAAATAAAATTAGAAAACGAATGCAGTCACCGCATCTAAGGATTAGTAAACTGCATTATAATACATATTTGTTTTGGGGTTTAAGACTGCTTTAAAATATGAAGCAGGCAACAGAAGCACTCAGCAGGACTTGCAACAGGAGGAATTTCCAATGTGGTTTTGTTAATGTCGACATTTTGGCAGGGCAGCCCACCTTTCGTAAGAACACCCTGCCAATTCTATTGGCTATAAAATATTGACTATACATTTTGACCTCAGCTATTATGTTGGTGCTTCTTTGTCCCTCCCCTTCATACCTTCTTAGGTTCTCTATTGGTCCATTAAGGTGATCAGAGTTCTTATTTACTGGTACAATTAAGGCAGGGGCATATTGCTAAGTAGTACAGCAAAATGGCACCCACCCCAGTCTAAACTGGCTTTTGAAGCAAGGACTACGTGAACCGGGCAACGCATGTCAATAAAAAAAAAAAAAAGGAAAAAAAGGAGGTTCAAAATCAAAATCAACTTGCCAGCCAGCTTGCCAACAACCAAATTAACCTGTCTAACAGTATGCGTTAAAAACAGAGGTTTAGTTAGCACACATTTGCAAATACATGCGCAAGCCACAGAGCCACATCAAGGCACCCTGGTATTCTGTGGTCCTAACTCTACAAATTTTGAGAGCCCCCATAGTAGAGGCACATGTATTTAAAGGATAGATCAAGGGCAGGTGAACATGAGGGAGCCCAACCCTCTTAAAGGTACAGGAGTGCACTGGACACCCAGCATATAGCACAATGGCAGCCAGGGTGTCCGGTGCACCCACTCACCTACAATTCAACAGTACAGTAAAATGGCACCCGCGTCAGTCTATAACTGGCTTTTGAAGCTCTATCCTTTAAATACATTATGCAGTTTTCTTATTCAATTTTCTTTAGATTTACCTTCAAAAATGCGGCATTCTAGATTAACCACTTTATGACTGCCTAGCCACATTGTACTGCGAACAGGCAGCTGCTGTAGGAAAAGCGATGTAAGGGTACATCGCTGCCTGCTTCCAGGTTTCAAGTGCATGCACGCGCGCTACCGCCAGCATCTGCTGTGATTGCACACAGCAGGAGCCTGTCAGCAAGTTCCGGCCAATGATTTACGGCACATTTTACATTTAACACAGAGCTCTGTACACAGCAATCTGTCAGTTCCAATATATACCATAGTTTGTAGACGCTATAACTTTCACGCAAACCAATCAATATACACTTATTGGAATTTTTTTATCAAGGACATGTAGCAGAATACATTTTGTCAAAATGTATTAAGAAATTTGATGTTTTTAATTGGATAAATTTTATAGCAGAGAGTAAAAAATATTTTTTGTTTGTTTTTTTCAAAATGTTCAGTCTTTTTTTGTTTATATCGCAAAAAAATAAAAAACCCAGCTGTGATCTTCATGGGACAGAGATTGAGCTCTGCAGTCACTTTTGCAGCAGTCGTTTTCATATTCCGGGTCCCAATCCTATGCAATGTCCTTTTGTTTCTTTTAGTCAGTATTCGTTTTATACCGTATATACCTTTTCACGCTCTCCAGGGCTTGTATCATAAACTTTTCTGAACAAGATTTCTTGGATTGTGGGAAGACAAAAGAGGATAATAGTCACTATACATGGCTTTGTCACACCACATTTTAATATATACTGTACATACATATCTAAACCTACTATGAGTCCTGAGTCAGCAGTAGGAATGAGTGTCAGCCTGCTCCTGTCTGAAACCCTTACATTTTCCAGAACTCCAAGGCCTGTAGGGGCCAGAAAGCCTAAATACCGTATTTTTCGCTCCATAAGACGCAACTGACCATAAGACGCACCTAGGTTTTAGAGGCAGAAAACAAGAAAAAAAATTTTCTGAACCAATGGACTGCAGACATAGTACAGGAGATGACCAGAGACTGCAGACATAGTACAGGAGATGACCAGTGACTGCAGACATAGTACAGGAGGTGACCAGAGACTACAGACACAGTACAGGAGGTGACCGGAGACTGCGGACACAGGACAGGAGATGACCGGAGACTGCGGACACAGGACAGGAGATGACCGGAGACTGCGGACACAGTACAGGAGATGACCGGAGACTGCGGACACAGTACAGGAGATGACCAGAGACTGCGGACATAGTACTGGAGATGACCAGAGACTGCGGACACAGTACAGGAGATAAAATAATATAAGTGGTGAAGCGCTCAACTTAAATACTCAAAAACTAGTGCAATATCCCCATATATAAATATTAAATCCCTAGTGATATAATAATACACAAATGATACCTCTTAGGCTATGCAGCTATACAAATAATACTAATAAATAATAATGAATAGAAACCTAGTGCAATATCCTCATATATAATATATATCCCTGGTGATATAGTGATAACTAATATCTCTTAAACTGTGCAAAAAAGTGATACTGAAATGCAATTGATTATATCAATTTAAAATAAAAAATATTAATTAAAATAGTGATGCCACACTGTGCAAAAATTATAACAAAGTGTTCAAATATTGCCACTCCATGCTGAAATAGTGCTCTTCGTGAAAATCTTGACGTGACTCCCCTCAATAGCAGAAATGCCCCCTCACCTTCCACATTCGACCCTTGCGGGTCACAGAGCTTTTTATATATATATATCTCTCTGCCAGATGTTAATCTCCTCCACTGCCTCCACCGACCATGATCCTCCTCCAGGCAGTCAGTACCACTCCAATTACTCCCCTCACACAACGAACTCTGCCAGAAAGTATTCTCCTCCACTGCCACCAGTAAGCCACAGAGCCGCGTCACGGCACCCTGAGTATCTGTGGTCCTAACTCTACAAGTCTAAAGAGTCCTCACAGTGGAGGCACATGCATGTGCCTCCACTGTGAGGACTCTTTAGACTTGTAGAGTTAGGACCACAGATACTCAAGGTGCCGTGACGCGGCTCTGTGGCTTACTGGTGGCAGTGGAGGAGAATACTTTCTGGCAGAGTTCGTTGTGTGAGGGGAGTAATTGGAGTGGTACTGACTGCCTGGAGGAGGATCATGGTCGGTGGAGGCAGTGGAGGAGATTAACATCTGGCAGAGAGATATATATATATAAAAAGCTCTGTGACCCGCAAGGGTCGAATGTGGAAGGTGAGGGGGCATTTCTGCTATTGAGGGGAGTCACGTCAAGATTTTCACGAAGAGCACTATTTCAGCATGGAGTGGCAATATTTGAACACTTTGTTATAATTTTTGCACAGTGTGGCATCACTATTTTAATTAATATTTTATTTTAAATTGATATAATCAATTGCATTTCAGTATCACTTTTTTGCACAGTTTAAGAGATATTAGTTATCACTATATCACCAGGGATATATATTATATATGAGGATATTGCACTAGGTTTCTATTCATTATTATTTATTAGTATTATTTGTATAGCTGCATAGCCTAAGAGGTATCATTGTGTATTATTATATCACTAGGGATTTAATATTTATATATGGGGATATTGCACTAGTTTTTGAGTATTTAAGTTGAGCGCTTCACCACTTATATTATTTTGTTTCACTTATCTTGTGGTATATAGAATAGGTGATAGCAGCTAACTCACTAGGTTCTGTGGAGCGCAGGGGGATTTCTGTATTTTTTATAACAGTACAGGAGATGACCAGAGACTGTGGACAGTGCAGGAGATGACCAGAGACTGCGGACAGTACAGGGGATGACCAGAGACTGCGGACAGTACAGGGGATGACCAAGAGACTGCGGACAGTATAGGGGATGACCAAGAGACTGCGGACAGTAGAGGGGATGACCAGAGACTGCGGACAGTACAGGGGATGACCAGAGACTGCGGACAGTGCAGGGGATGACCAGAGACTGCGGACAGTGCAGGAGATGACCAAGAGACTGCGGACAGTGCAGGGGATGACCAGAGACTGCGGACAGTGCAGGAGATGACCAGATACTGCGGACAGTACAGGAGATGACCAGAGACTGCGGACAGTACAGGGGATGACCAGAGACTGCAGACAGTACAGGGGATGACCAGAGACTGCAGACAGTAGAGGGGATGACCAGAGACTGCGGACAGTACAGAGGATGACCAGAGACTGCGGACAGTACAGGAGATGACCAGAGACTGCGGACAGTACAGGGGATGACCAGAGACTGCGGACAGTACAGGAGATGACCAGAGACTGCAGACAGTACAGGAGATGACTAAGAGACTGCTGAGCTTTGGAGAGGGAGGGGGAGCGGGTACCTGAATTTGACAGGTACCCGCTCCCACTTCCGCGGAGTTGTCCTCCCTTTAAAGTGGGCACCCGGCTGACAGCCAGGTGCCCAGTGTGCATGCGCGAGAAGCGCTCCACTTTGTGATTGGTCCGACGCCTTCTTCTAGGACCTGTCATGTGTCCCAAAAGACGCTGTACCATTCACAAAGCGCAGAGCTTCTCGCGCATGCGCACTGGGCACCCGCCTGTCAAGCCGAGAGCCCACACTAAAGAAGCCGTCGTGGGAAGACTGCGCAGCGCTGGACCGAGGAACAGGTAAGGTCATGCTGCAGAGTTGAGCGGCCAGCCCGGTATTCTGATACGGCGGTGGTGGAAATACCGAACCAGCCGCTCCATATTCACTCCATAAGACACACTGACATTTTCCCCCTTTTTTGGGGGGAAAAAAGTGCGTCTTATGGAGCGAAAAATACGGTAATATATAAACCCAAAATTTCATATTTCTGATATGTGCCTGCTGTACCATGTACTTGAAAAAGTATCCTGCTGTCTTTTTATTGCTTCTGTTGTGTGCAATACCTGGTGTGTCTGCCAGTCCCTCTGCTTTCCTAGCAAAAACTGACCACACTAGGCATGAGAGCACGTCATGGTCGGTTTGCTGGCTGTGGGAACTCCAATGATCAGACTTGCCTGACATCCCTACCTCTAATGTTTTTTTATAATTATACACACAAATGGTTTGCCTTTCATTTCCATTTTAAATTGTATGGGTTGTTTTACAAGGTTTACATATGCTTTAAAAATGACACAAAGATTCAAGAGGGAATATAACTTGGTAAACATAAAGGCAAAAAAGCATCGCATTAATAACGAAGAATGAGCACAGGTCAGGAAATTAGGACTCCCTTGCTAGGATATTGACAGGCTCAGGACAAGGTAGATTAGTGAGACTGGGTAACAGTGAGTATAACATTTGCAAGGCAGACAATCAATGCAGTTTTATAGAAAAAATAAATACTAACAATATAAAGAAAAATTTTTATTGCATGCTTTGAACTACTAGTATGCCTTTCTTGTCCCTTCTCATAAGTCATAAGGAGAAAGTAAGAGAAGGTCTCCTCAATGACAATCCAGAAAAAAAAACTTATAGAAATTTGACTTCTCCACTCTATCCAATATCTGTCTATAGGCCAGTTGAACCCAGAGGCGGACTGACCATTTGAGCAATCGGGAACTGCCCGAGGGCACGGGCTCAGTAGGGGGCCCCATGGGATGCCCCTGGTACCTTTCATTGGCTTTTTCATAGGCTTTTTTTAGGTTTGGGCAAGGACACAGGGGTCCTATGATCCCCTATTGCCCGAGGGCCCCATGAGTTGTCAGTCCGCCCCTGCCTGTGACTTAGAATCAGCTGACAACAGGCTAAAGCCTTCTGTCAGCTGATGTCACAGAGCTAGTGCAGGATCCTGAAAGGGTGAAAGGATCCTGACAATAGTGTCAGGATCCACCCAGATCCCTGACCAGCAGCTGGCTCAGCCTCTCAGTAAGCTGCTGAAAGCCTGAATCAGCTGCTCCTCTTTACCCACACCCCACCCCCCCCTTCTCCACTATGGCATTTCAGTGAGCGCTGGAGGTGCAGAGCTGAGAGCTGGTGACTTACAGTCAACACCACTCTCTGCTCAGTGAAGACTGAGAACCGAGCAATCAGCAGTCAAGTGATTGATGCTGCAGCCATATAGGTATGTGTATGAGTATATATATTTTTTTTTTATTCCCACACATCTCCTCTATAGGAAGCTCAAAAAGAACAGACTTACTGGCAGAATCACCAGGTGAAAATAAAGTAAAAAAACTGAAAAAGAAAACTAATACATTAACCACATCTAAGGATTGGTGAGCATCAATACTGTATATTATATAAAAAAATTTTGGTTTAGATAAACTTTAAGCTGAAGAGTTTTGCAAAGCGAACATACAACTGACAAAATGAACATGTTCTATTCCTTTGATAAATTAAGTGTGTTGCTTAATTTATCTATAAATAACCTGTATTTTTATTACACTAAACATTTTCATTATTTATGGGTGGTTTACAGAGCTGTTCAGCTTCCTGAGAAATGTTCTAACTGGATTTAATAACAGGAAACATAAGTTTTTATCATCTATCCTAAAATCTAAAAATAACATTATCTGGTCAATAAAAAATAAATATTTTTTATATAACTTTCAGTTAATTGGAGTCATTTATTATGTACATCTTTTAAATGTCAAGGTCTGTGCTGAAATTTGCAGTTTCCTTGCCAAGACATGAAGTATTACTACAAAATGTCAACTTTTTTTTTACCCTTTCACTACCAGAGCCATTTTTCGCATTTTTTGTTTTTTTTTGCACACGTGTTTAAAATATAATTTTAGGCCTGGAGATTGCACAAAACCCCAAAAATATTATATATTTTCTGAAAGCAGACACCCTAGAGAATAAAATAGTGGTAGTTCCAACTTTTTATGTCACACAATATTATTGCAAAGGTCTACGAAACACAAAATTTCAGTAAAAATCACACTAAAGTGAATTTTAGGGCAAAAAAACACAATAAATTACCCAATGTTTGATAAAATATAATAGATAAGGGTGTGCCAAGTAAATAGATACCCAACATGCCAAACCTTAAATTTGTGTGTGCCTATGAAATGGTGACAAACTTCAGTACCCTACATTTTCTATAGGCAACATTTTGAAAGCCCCTATAGGTCATCAGTTTAGTGTTACGGAGGAGATCTGGTGGTGGTATTATTACTCTCACTCTGGCATGCATGGCGATATGTAACATGTGCATCATAATCATTGTTTTTCACGCGTAAGTGCCCCAACATGTGCGTTTACGTTTGTACATGCGTATAGGTGGGGGGGCCTCAAAAAAAAATTGGGAGGGGATGTTTTGTGCTTGGGTGTAACTTTATTTTTTTACAAAAAACATTTTTTTTTTACTTAACTTTTTTTTTCATCACATAGGGGACACAAAGTCCCCATGTAATGATTTTGTGGTGACAGGTTATCTTTATTGATAGACCCTGCATGTCTCCTCTGTGATCCTTTAGATGTACTCCAAAGACATGCTAGTAGGTTAATTGGATCCTGTCTAAATTGGACCTAGTATGTGTATGTATGAATGTGAGTTAGGGACCTTAAATTGTAAGCTCTTTGGGAGTTATGGATTGATGTGAATGTACAACATATATGTAAAGTGCTGCGTAAATTGATGGCGCTATATAACTACCTGTAAGAAATAATAAATAAATTGCAATGCAAACGGTATTGCAATACATCTTTCCCCGGCTATTCTAGCCAGAAAGTGACAACCATGACCCGGAAGTGATGTCATGGATACCGCCGTCCAGGTCACACAAAAAAGGGGAGGAGAGCGGACCCTCGTCCGCTCTTATTTCCACCTACTGGCACCCGCCATGGCACTCCCCGAGTCTGCAGATGGGCAAGCGGAGCCTGGATACATGGTGGGAGCACGCCCGGGGGGGGTGCCGAAACCAGGGGCTATGGAAGCAATCGTCAGTGGAGATGACTAAGACATTTTTTGCTATACAGTATTGAACTACTTTAGCTGGTAATTGCGCAGTCATGCAACACTATACTCAGTCAAAATTGCTATAATTTTTTTAAACAAATAGAACTTTCTTTTGGTGGTGTTTGATCACCACTGGGTTTTTTATTTGTTGTGATATAAATGAACAAAAAACAAAAGTTCAATCAAGGGGTTAAATGTGTGCCGAACTATGTGTAATGTGTGTAAAGTGTTCTGCTTTTACTAATAGATGTCTAAGTTTCTCATCCCTGCTTTGCAGGGAGGAAAAACAAAGATTGTTCACTCTGTACAGAGCTCTGTGTTGATTGTCAACACAGAGCTCTGGGCTGCGATTGTACACATCTGATCAGCAGGTCCCAGCCCGGATTCATTAGCAAGGACTTGCTGACAAGCTTCTGCTGTGTACACCACAGTGCGCGCCGACCCGAAACCTGGAAGTAGGGAGAGACGTACTGTCCGCAGTACATAGCGGGTGGGTGGCTGCTAATTGGTTAAAGGAAACTACATTGGTTTTGGGTCGATTTAAATATGTTTTAGTTTATAAATTGAAAATCTAATCTGTTTTGTAATTATTTTAATAAACATTTTTGTTCATTTATAAACATAGAAATGGTTATTACAGGGTGTTCCTGCGACATGGGATAAAAAGGATATTAAAGCATCCCATGGCACAAGATACACAAGACATTAAAGTGTACAGTACAGTATGTATAGCCAATTTTTATATTTTTTTTGTACAGATTAGGGAAAGTTTAAAACATTGTCAGGATTTTTTTTTGCCATCAGTATCAGGAAATTTTCCTTCATTATCCGTTCTGTAGGTACTAAAATAAGTACCATAGACTCTCTAAAGTGAGGTAAATCCCCTGTTGTTCACACATGCAGCAAATATAGCCGCTGCTCTGAAAAGTGATTACGGACCTTTGGTGCACATTCAGAAAACACACCAAACACACAAGGACCAGGGGCGTATTTACAAGGCAAACAAGGCACTTGCCTAGGGTGGCATTTTTCAGTGGGGCAGCACTTCCCCCCAGAAGAGCGATGAAGGAAGGGACAGGTGGGATCCCAGAAAGGCTGCTTGATTGTGTATGTAGAGCCTAACTCTTGTTCCTGGGGATGTCCGGAGCTGTGAAGATGAGTGTCTTTTTCTCTATCACCAGGGGGGTAGTGAAAGGTTCTCCCAGGTGGGGGGCAGGGGTGTTATCAGGCTCTCTCTGCGGGAGGGGGGGGGGGGGGTGTTATTCGGTGTCCATGGGGGCAGACGATTTTTGTGTTGCCTAGGGCAGCACAAAACCTAAATACCCCACTGGCAAGGACATAATAGAAATCTATGGGAAAGTGCAGGTAACCTGTACACTGCCTGTACACTGCACTACACCTGCACTGCGGTCAAACCGCACCAGAGCAGTGTGAAAGTGCCCTAAGTAGCACTGTGATAGATTGCAACTGGACCCCAACTACTTCTTAATTGTGCGTTTGTATAAAGTGAAAATTTTTCATCAAACTAAAATTAAGG